AAAGGAGACTAAGGGGGGATATGATCCAGGTCTATAAGATTCTAACGGGTCTGGATGGTGTTCAGTCAAATGGCTATTTCAGTAAATTTTGCAGTGGACCCCTCCTGTACAGACCCAGGGATGAATGTCCCTTGCCCCCACCCTCTCTGTCCTTTTGATAACAGGTAACGTAAAACTTGTCACAATCTGCCAAGAACTGGAACTGCAAATTTTACTGAAGGGGCCCCCGGCTCTGTCGCTCCCCCTCCCCACTGCCATGAAACCCCTCCTCCGCCCCTGCTGTTAACCTTCTTATTCTCGATGAATGTTCTGTTAAATGTCAGCTAACATTAAACCGGGACTGTGACTGATTATCGTGTCAATGGATGGATGCTTTTACAAATAGGCCTGACTGTAAACACAATACTGCTTTCGGCTTTAGATTCTGGTGAGCGCCTCTTTATGTATCTGGAAAACATGCTAAACTTCTCCCCCTGGTGGAAGCATGCTGTTGTTGACAAGACAGGGAGGAGATGCATGTTGGATATGTAGATGTCCACATAAAATAAACAAACACGCTTTACCATTTGATACATAACGGTACATTGGAATGCTTCTCTAAGGGCCTTGCTTAAGGACCCACAGACATGCAGAGGCTGGGTTTGAACTGGTGACCTTGTGATTACAGGCATACAGGCTTAGCCCACTGAGCCACACAGAACACATGGGTCCAGTCATTAGAGTACAAGAATTTTTATAAATAAATTACAAATATCAACTCTAAACACAGAAAGCATACAATAGGTATTTTAGGCATCCAGAAATTGTACTAATGTACTAAATGTACTAATGTAATAAATAAAACAGACTTGTGTTTCCATATATTTTGTGAATGTGTGTCTTTCATATTTGCAGGTCAGTCAGTGTGTGGGATATTCTGTATAGATATAGCAGGCATTTGTGAAGGTTTCCATGTCACACACAGAGGTTTGGCCTGCCTTGGATTTGAGCTACTCTGAGTAACCAAATGCTAATCTGCCAGGCCTCACAGGTAATGGGTGTGTTTGCACAACAAAAGCAGGAGGACAATGGAGCTGAAAATCTCAGCAGGGGTGCTAGTAGGTGTTATGTTCAGGGAATTTACGCAAATTTCCGCAGGTTTGCCAAATGTAGAGCTAATCCACATCTTGCTCTCAATAGCTTAGGGGTTACAGTGCAGGGTCAGCTAACGTGCAGTGCAGGGTCAGCTAACGTGCAGTGTCCATGGAACTGGGGGTTAAGGGCCTCGCTCAAGGGCCCACGGACATGTGACTGATCTGCTGAGGCTGGAGCTCAAACTAGCACTCTTCTGATCACAGTCACAACGCTCCCTCCCTAAGATATCTGGTTTGGGATGGACATTGGACACCAGGGGCATACACAGGCGGAGACCACAGTGACGCTGACCTTATTTCAAAGCTGATTGGTTCCCAGAGTGAACCCACCCCTATCACTCACCAATTCAAAGCATATTATTGGCTAATAATGAGATTGGCTCCTATGTACTGTGTGAATTATGGCCCCTCTTATGCCAACCCACTTTTTAAAAAATCTTAGAATCCCCTGTTGGATAGTGCTGTGTAAGAATTGGAAGCACAAAGCTTGGATTTCGCCATGGAAACCACTGACCACAACATCCAAACCACAGGAGATCAGAGTGCAGTGAGATGCGGGCAAAAGGGAGGTGTCTGTTCTGGACACCAGTAGCTGTGCTCAGCTGCAACATACCTTCAAAGGAGAAGCTTTTAACCCTGAGCCTGGCAGTGTGCCTCTGTGACTCACATAAGGTAGTTATTTATGTGTGGGCATGATGGCACAGTGGTTTTTGCTGTTCAATTTTTCATGCAAACTGCTAAAATGAAGACTGTCCAGTACAGTGCCGTGAAACAGCTTGGCAGCCATTTTGTTTGAATAATCACATTTTGGTGTCTGACTGCAGATTCCTATCATCAAACCACAACAAACCAGAAGGTCCTGAACCTTTTCCTTCTTAAAATTCCTTTGGAATGTGGAACTCATGAGCTGCACAGATGAGGGGGACAATGACTGCTCTTTCATTAGATTTGGTGCAAAATGTTCAGCTGTCCAAAATGGCACCGATTCACTCTGTTTCATTTGACCACCAAAGGCAGGTATTCTGGAATATGGGCTGTAATACTTTAGATCTCCACAAGGGGGGAGTTGAATCCTACTTTCCAAAAACCACCTTTCCTCCGCTATTTTTCCACCAAGGGAATGAGTCATTGCTAGTTTTTTATGTCACAAGTTAGAAACTTTCTATGTTCCTTTTTTATTTTATTTCTTCATATATTTATGGGTGCAGAACCTATCAGTATTACTCAGTATTACCTATCAGGATTACTCAGTATTACCTATCAGTATTACTCAGTATTGCCTATCAGGATTACTCAGTATTACCTATCAGTATTACCCAGTATTGCCTATCAGGATTACTCAGTATTAGCTATCAGTATTACTCAGTATTGCCTATCAGGATTACTCAGTATTGCCTGTTACTTATGTGTTTGTTTAATTGTGCTGATTTTAGCTATGGACGTTTGAATTGGGGATATAAATCATCTTGCACTATTTGGGGCTCAAGGGTGCAGTTGGCATGCGGAGAAGAAAATGAGAAATTGAGAGGTGGGTTGAAAGAACGGAAAGAAGAATTTTGTAGTATTTTGCAGCCTCTGACAACAGTGGTGTGAATAAAATATGCACCAGTTATATTTAAAAGTCTGTTCTACAAAAATGTCCTTAATTGCACATATAATGTGCACCGCCTCCCCCCACCACACACACACACATTTGTATTCGTATCTTTGTGAGGACCGTCCATTCACTTCTCTGGGAAAACCCTAATCCCAGCACTCCCACTCAGCTCTAACCTTAACCAAGTAACCGAACAAAATAAAATAATTTTGGCAATTTTAAATTTTTTAATTGCATTCACATATTTTTTTATAAAATTCGGTTTTCCCTTGTCCCCACAAGGTCAAATAAGTGTTTTCTCACATTTGGTCCCCACAATGCAACATATACATGCCCCCCCCCACACACACACACACACCACCCCCAAGTTGAATCTCTTTTGAAGAACTATGTGAGAATTCATGTCACAAAGATTGTGGAACCATGTCTCCCTGACAACTGTCGCCCAGCAACAATCTCTCGGCATTGCCGTGTAATCTCCCCTTCCAACTTCTGCGCTGGTCTCTCTCTATCTCAGAGTTTGGGCTCTGGTGGAGGAGTGCACTGTGTCACAGGGGACCACTGCGTCTCTCTAGCGGGGATGACACTTCCAGTGTTCACTGCTGAAGAAGCATTTCATAAGGATGACTACCTAAGTCACATGGCACAACAGTCACTGTATAAGGGACTGTCACAAAGCTCTCAGAGTGAAGTTTTATTATTATCACATAACAATACTTACGCAATTTTGTAAATGAGGAGAGGAACTGAGAATATACAGTATATGTGTATGTGTGTGTGTGTGTGTGTGTGTGTGGGGGGGGGGGTTAAGTTTATATTACTTTGTGGGGACCAAATGTTACCCACTATATAATAAAAACCTGTTATTATTTTGATGTTGTGGGGACCATTTTTCAGGTCCCCACAAAGATCTGTGAATGCAATCAAAAAAGTGAAAATGCCAAAAGTCTCGTATTAAGTTTGGTTACTTATGATTAAGGTTAGGGCTGGGTAGGGGTTAAGGTTGTCATATTCACTATAGAAATGAATGGAGAGTCCCCACAAAGATACAATTACAAACCTGTGTGTATATAATTTATTTATTTATTTTCCACCACCTATCAATCTTTCCTCTGCCTATGCAGTACAGACTGCCTGGAGTCTATCTCAGGAATCACAGGACACAATGCAGGGGACACTACGGATTGGGATGTCAGTGCCACACATATACTTTATTATATATTAAATATATATATATTATGCAATTTTACAAGTTAGGGAATAAAATACAATCTGTAGAGGATAACATGGACACATATCCATATTCACATCCAATCTACAACCTGGCGTAGGTGTGGTCAACTATAGCAACCACTCACAACTGCGGTTAATTCATCCATCAATTAGTGTATTCAGGCTTGTTTTCTTGCTCGTGTTCATCTCCTTCGGCTTAGGGTTGTGTGCATAGGCTCTGGCATGTTGTTTTAGCTTATTCTGCCGCTCGCCTGATCCGGCTTTTATTTAAATCTTCAGCTATTTTAGTTATGCTAGATTCACAAACGTTCAGATATCGTTTTAGAAATGCTCCACGTCTTTTTCAAACAGCGACGGCGGGGCATGCATTACAAACAAAAATCAACCATCACGAGACGCCTCTCACGTACCCTCAGACTGTTGTTGGTATTTCTTTGTGTTTTTTATTTTTTGTTTGGCTTATATGTTGTATTAGAATGGAGGCACATCTAGGTCTACATGACGAAACGCCTGTACGAAGACGCAGCAAAAGCACAACTTTCTCACCTGACGTAAGACGATTACAGTTAGGGAGGCATGCCGCGATTTATCTACAATAACAGACCTAGTGGTCTGTGCGTGTAAATAAGCAAATGTGATAACATGGGCGTGGAAACATGGCAGCCTGTCACCAATTAACACCATAACGTAATCGTGTCCACAGCTTTAAAAACCAAAACATTCTTAATGCTGCCCCATCATCTGCGATCATAACGCCGATTACGTAATCGGTCATTGTAATTTTTAATTGTATTTATCCCACGACCCACCTGCATGCGAAAGTGCCTGACCACCCACCTGACAGCCCCCACCCCCCGCTGATGCGTTGCCATGGCGCCGCCGAGAGTCATTACAGAGGATCTCCCGTAGCATCCCCCGCCCACCGCTGACGGTGCGAGCGAGAAGGAAAGTAGGACAAGCCTTTGTGAGGCGGAGGGGCTTTCGTCCATCTCGCTGTTTGCAGTGACAGTCCTCTGTTGCTTGAATGCTGAACACAGAGATCAGAGGACTGTGGCAATGTACGGTACAGCAGGATCAGGAGATTATGTCCTGCAATAAACAAGACTCTCCCAGGAGCATTTTAGCAGAAATCGATCCAAATCTGTCACCCAGAGGGAAGTAAGGCGATATGTTAAATCAGTGATCGCCAACCGGTCGATCACCAAAACATTCCCAGGGGATCGCGACACCATCTACGTCCCCCACCCCCGTCCAGCAAAATCTTAGCTACAGAGGGGGATTCCCCCCACTCCCCTTCAGCAAAGATACAGTGGCGACTCAGTATCTCCCCTTATTATTTCTCTCCTAAAAGTAGCAGGCACTGTCAAAAAGATTGGAAAGCATTGTGTTAACGGATTTAGAGTGAACCATGTAATATAATTGTATACCATCTTTTCCCTGCTGAGCTGGCAGAACAGCTGTTCCGCTGATATTCCTCCAGACTGACACGGGTGGCAGATCTAGTTACGTCATTCATATCTAACTCGTTAATTAAGGGACTGTCGAAGTTTGCGCGTTTTTTTTTCACCCGTCGCTGTTTTTTTCACCCCATTTTATGCCCCTCACATCCCCCCCCCCGACCCGCCCTCTATACCAAGCTCTGCACACGTTTTCTCTCTTTCACAGGGATCTGGCCGTCCGGTCGATTTGATCATATTTTAACATTTATATATTTATTTTTTATTTTGATAGCGGCGTATGGTGCCATCTTCTTCCACACGAAGAAAGGCAAAAAGGACGTGCTGGCTGCGGCGGCGGATGAAAGGCTCTTCTTGGCAAACGTTTTCCTTGTACTGGGGTCGAGCAAAAGTATTCACATGTCAGCAGGAAAATTTCTGGAGGCAGAAGGATCTTCTCTCTACCGCTCATCTCCTACGCCTCTTCTTCCCCTCTCAATCCCTCCTCATTAGCTCCTTCCCCTCTTCTTCTCTTCTATTATTAATCTCTCGGTTTTCTTAATTCACCCCCCCCCAAAAAAATCTCAATTTCTCTGCTTTTATAAAATCTCTTCCAACTCCAGTCCTCTGTCCTCCTGTCATTCCCTTGCTTTTCCCATCCATCTCTCCCCTCCCTCTTGCCCCCTCTCTCCATGACCCCCACCCCCCCCAACCTCACAGGGCCACCAGGTCATGGCAGGAGCGTGACTTCTGCCTGAAGAACCTGCCCCCATCCCTCTCCCTCTCCCCCCGGTCACGCGGGTTGCGGGGCACCAGGCTGGACAGGAAGCGCTTAGCCCTGCTGGTCAGGCTTTCTCGCCGGGCCTCCTTGCCAGCTTCCTCCCACCACATGGACTGCCCCCGGGCGGCTCGCACAGCGCCCTCTAGCAGCTCGGAGGTGCGGTGCTCCAGGGAGGCTGAGAGCTCCACGTACCAGCACTGGAACAGGTCTGCACTGGACTGGGCCTCTGACATAGACAGACAAAGGAATGTT